ATATATATTTAAATATCTTTTATTGATTTTAGAGAGAGAGGAAGGGGGAGAGAGAGAGAAACATCGATGTGAGAGTGAGACATCTATTGGCTCCCTCCTTTATGCCCCTCTTGGGGATCAAGTTGTGTGTCCCTGATCAGGAATCTAACCCGCGACCCTTTGGTGCATGGGTCAACACTCAACCACTGAGCCACACTGGCCAGGCTGTTATATTTTTAGCAGATGAGTCTCAATATACAAATAAGACTGCAATTCAAATAAAAAGATACATGAAAAATTAATTTGCTTGTTTTAATTATGTAAGTCTGCACGTTTATGCAAATTATTATATATTTTGGAGAAAAGATATAATTGTGTAATATAATCAAAATTAAAGCATGACTTCTCTGAAAGACATTCTCCATTTTTCTAGAGTATATGTTATGTTGCTGATGATTCATTAGCATGAGCTAGTTTCCAAATATATTTTCTTGTAAAATTTTGTTCTTTGGCTTCATGTGAAATTTTGTTCTTGGAATAAGAATTTGTTTTATTTAATGAGGCTTAAAAGTTTGGTGCACTATTCATCTAATTTTGTGAAACTTAAAAAGGTATTTCTTATATGTGAATTTATCCTTGTACTCTCAATATTTTCCTTTGCTTCTTTTGAATCTTCTCTTATTATCCTTTTCCCTTTATAGCTGAACTTGAATGAGACATCTACATTTACTTCATTTTTTCAATTCCCCAGTTCCATTGACAGTTCACCTCTGTCATTTTGTTTTACTAGAACTGTCCTCACTAAGGGCCAGAATAATCTTTCACTGGCCAGTCCCATCCTTTCTGCATGTAATGCTGTTGAGTACTTTTATTTCCTTTGGCTTCTAGGTTTACTTCTCTTATGGGTATATATGTAAGAATGTGTGTATGTATGTATGTTTGTTTCTTTTACCGACCTTTTACAACCTTCTTTGCCATCTCCCTGCTCTTCTTACCTTTTCTTAAATCATTGGGACTCCTCATAGGATCTTCCTTTCAATTCTCTAGGTATACCTTCCCCTTAAGTCTTCTCAATACTTCAGTAGCTGTTAGTACTATCTATATTTATATAGCTCCTCAAATTCTGTCACTAGCCTAGATATTTTTCCTTAGAACCAGACTTGTATTTTCAACCACTTGTTGGATATCTCCACCTATAATACAAAAGGAATCAACATTAACAAATCCAAAAAGTATCAAGGAATTTTCCATTTTTTTCTCTCTGCCCATCCATCTTTTCCTATTCCTTTTGCTCAATTTCTTCTTAAATTTGTTTCTTCATGTCTCTGCTATTAACTCTTAGTAGGCTCTCATGCTGCCATCTAGACTGGTTCTGCCAATGGAAATATACAAGCCAATCTGTAATTTAAAAGTTGTTTTCTTAAAAATATATTTTTATTGATTTTTTACAGAGAGGAAGGGAGAGGGATAGAGTTAGAAACATCGATGAGAGAGAAACATTGATTAGCTGCCTCCTGCACACCCCCTACTGGGGATGTGCCTGCAACCAAGGTACATGCCCTTGACCAGAATTGAACTTGGGACCCTTCAGTCCGCAGGCCGACGCTCTATCCACTGAGCCAAACCAGTTAGGGCTGTAATTTAGACGTTTTAATAGTGATGTGAAAAGAGTAGAAAAAACCAAATTTTTATAATATGTATTTAATCCAACATATCTATTTCAACATGTAATATTTGTAAAGAATTGTTATTGAGAGATTTTCCCTTTTTGTCGTTGTCCTAAGTCTTTGAACTCCTCTGTATATTTTACACTTAGAGTGCATCTCAATTCAGACAAGCCACATTTCAAGTGCTCAATAGCCTTATGTGGCAAGTGACTATTTTCTCAGCATAAATCTAGACTATGCATTGTAAGAGCTTCTGGTTTTCTGACTTTTATAGTTTCTCCTTATCTGCTTCATTCTTCACATTACTGCCAAAGTTAATACTAAAAAAAGAAATTATTTGATCATCTCATTTACTTGCTTTAAAAACCTCACTTATTTTCTGATTCCTATAGAATTGTTTTATTATTCAAAGCTCTTTATAATCTGGTCCTATACTTTATATCAGCTTCCCCATCTGCATTGGCTTTTTCCCTTAATTTTATTCCTTAGACAAATTTTACTCATTCTCTAAGGCCAACTCATAAAGCATCAATTCATTAAAGTCTTTTCTAGAGTTAATTTTCAATCAATGTATCTGCTGATCCTTGTTTTTATCTCTATTATGAGCACTTAATCTGTTTACATGCCTTATTTCTCCATAATTTGTTTCCCCAGAGCTTAGCATGTATGTTAAGTTTATAATTTAGCATGCTTGAATGAATAAGCATATGTATTTGGGCTAGAGTTTCAGACAATTTTGTTTAATTGTTTTTTTCAAGGGAGAATTGAAAAATAGGTTATTTTTTGTGATACTGGATTATCACTCTAAATAGGTCATTTTGCTTTTCTCATAGGTTCAAGTAAAAAGACAGTTGAGAGAAGCAAAAGACAAGATAAACGAAAGCTCTTTTAAGAAACAGCTCTCCTGTCATGAAAATTCTAAAAGCTGTATGAGGTTAGTAATGAACTTTAGAAGTGGAATCCAATGTGTAGAATCAGAAGGTAGCTAGTAATAAAAATGAATACATTTTTTTAATGATGTGGGTTTAAATATACTTAATTACTTCTTTTAAAGCATGTAGTTGGTAATTTAAGGAATGACCAGCTGAAATCTGAGAATATAATCTGAGCTCTATCTTTTATTAATATGTTTTTTAAAATTAATTTCAGAGAGGAAGAGAGAGAGAAAGAGAAATAGAAACATCAGTGATGAGAGAGAATTATCGATCAGCTGTCTCCTGCATGCCCTCTATGAGAACTCAAGCTTGCAACCCGGGCATGTGCCCTGACCAGGAATTGAATTTTGACCTCCTGGTTCATAGGTTGACGCTCAACCACTGAGCCACACCAGGCGGACTCAGCTTTATCTCTGAGGAATTGGTTTTCTTAGTTTTTTTTTCTAATCTGGATTTAGATTGATAAATGTTACAGCAGTGTAAAATTTCTGTAAAATTTTCTGAATGCTTATTTATTTTTGTACATATCACAACCAATAATGGAGAAGCACTGGTGCACAGACCACATTTTGAATAGCACTGCTCTAGTGTTTAGGGACAAAAAGTAGAAAGTTACTAATGGTATAACTCACCATACTTCATGAGACAGTTATAATTCAAGCTACTTATTTTTCTCATTGTGCTTCTTTGTATTTTTGCTACCTAATGTAACATGTTTATGTTTTTAAAAAATTTAATGTTTGTATTTGTTTCTTTAATTGCTGTTGGTAAAACGTAATTGCCTAGAAATACAGTGCTTAGTATTCCAGTTTAATAGGTATCGTATTTTTTTTTTCAACTAAATTGTGTTAGTAATGTACTGGAAATTAATTTATTCTTAATACTTAAAATAACCTCTTCTGGTACATGTAAAATTTAAGCCCATTTTGATCTGAAATATATTAAGAGCTATCTAAAAGTTATATTCTTAAGTCAATATACTGTCAGATTCATAATTAAATTTATAATTCATTAGCATATTTCATCAGAATGCTAATTTCTTAAGAGAATACATTTATTTTGTTACCAAAATAATTGACAGTTGTCCCTGAGATGTATTAAATCATGCAACTAATTTATAATATTATAGCTCTCTAGGTCTTAACTTTTGGGAAGTTACAGACTTCTTTGGGAATTTGAAGAAAACTGCAGACATCTTCTAAAAAAACATGTCATAGAACTTACTTACAGACAAAACTTTGTGTATGATTTTAAGGGATTCATGAAACATCCACTGTAAGAACCCACCCATAAACCCACATTAGCTGCATTAGAGTAGATTTTATTTACATTTTCTTTTAACTTTATTAGAGTCAGTTTTGATTTATGTATATGTGTTTTCATAGTAGGTAGCAGCACACTTTTCCTAGGAATAATGAGGGAATACCTTTGCTACCTTCATTCTTAATATAGCTGCTATCACTGGCTGTGACAACGTCATGGATATATATTTTTGTATTTTCTCTGAATTACCCCAATTCTCTGAGCTATTGCTAAGAGTGCAGTGGTCATCACTATATGACCTATAACAAGGTTGCGCAATGGGGCTAATTCAGCTGAGGTAGTCCATATGCTTAACTGCTTTTTCTCATGGATATATGGTGAGGGGGGGGGGGGGGTGTATGGAAATAATACATAAAATAATAATTTGCTTTTGTCCAACAAGTCAGACCCTTAATGATTTCTTCCAAGGTGGAAAATATCTCAGCTATTGGATATTTACAGTACATTTTTTAGAGCCTTTTGGAAGTTTTTTAGCATTCCTCCCATTCAGCCTGAGGTTTGCTATCCATTCCTAGTCTCTTCACCACTTCAATAGTGTCCAGTGTTGTTTCTCCTTTCTAAAGCGGTAAAACCCTGACAGATACCCTTTCTTTCTGATTATTTCTGCCAGTTCTAGAGAAAGAGATTGCAATGATATTTTGTTTCTTGGTAGTAAACCTCCATTGTCAGTCACTGGGATGGGGAGGGGCAACTACTTATATTTTCTTTGCTAGAATATAAAACTCTGCCTAATAAATTTCATTTTGGTGGGCAGGGAATTGAAAATAAATGAGCAAAATGACAGTTTTGTCTTAATTCTTTCACCTTTTTTTGATGTTTACAGAAAAAACATAGGAGAAGATCTATTAAGTGCAAAGCTTTATGACTTGAAGATGCATAGTAAGTGGCTTTTACTTTTGTTTTCTACCTTTTTTTGTTTCTTACTTGAGTACTTGTGCCAGAGTTCTTATTAGTAACATTTTGGTTTGGAAAACGGTCATGCACAGAACTCTACTGAGCTCTGTACATTGTTAAATCCTATATAAACTACTTTCATGGAGTTATTTATGCTGTTCCCTACCCAATTTGGGTGTTTTTTTATGCTCATCTTGGAGGAAGGGAGCAGGAGGAAGAAAGGGGGAGAGCAAAAGAAGAAGAATATTTTCAATTACTTGGTGGTTAGCAACCTCCATTACAGTCTTACTCCACTTATAAAAGCAGAAGAATTTAGGGGAGATGGGATAAAGTACGGTAAGTTGTAGCAAGGGAAGTTTGTGACAGTGAAGTTATTTCACTGTTCCCAGAGGAAGTGGTGGTTTGGTCTCTAGCCACACTTCTAATTTGAAACTTTGGAAATAAAGCACCTCTTACATATTTGTCTACATGAGCAGTTAAATATTCCTGTTTTTCGATCTAACCTAGTACATAGTTCTCCAGTACAGGAAAGGTTTGGGGCAGGGTCTGAGAAAAATGATACCATAGTGCCCTGTGATTCCTCCTTGGAGCTCAGGCTGTGTATTCTATTCTAAAGAACAACTTACTATTAACTGTTTGTAAGCGAGGAGGTGAACATTTAATTTCCAGGCTAGGTTACAATGAATTTTTCTTTATAGATATAAAGAATTAATGAATTTATTATTCTTAAAAGTTATCAACTTCATTGTTTTACATTATGAATACCAAGTTTGGTTGTTACTATATTTATGATTTGAATTAACATGATCTCTTATGTCTATAGATCTCATATTTATAGGTTAATAAGTGCTCTTTCTGCCTTTGATTAGTTGCTATTAAAATGAAATTGTATTAAAAGGATTTACTGATTAGATGAGCATTTTTCTTTTGTTAACAAACCCTAGATATCAAACTTGTTTGTTTTTCTATGTCATTGCTGTTGATGAACATCCTTTTTTAATGGATGGACTTTGGTAACTCTAGGATCTGATATAAAATTTACTGCTGAGAAAGATTAAATGATGTGATAGATTTCTCTAGATAATTTGGCCTGCTCTCACTATGTTTATCTTAGTTTTAAGTCTACTATAATTTTCTTTAAGTGTATATCTCTTGCCTGGACTAATTTTAGAGAGAGAGACATAGGCAGATCTAACCTCAAGTGCTTCACTGTAGTGAAGACCATTTATAAGACTCTATGACTTATATGGATTTGAGAATTTGTTTTATTATTCAGAATATGGAATACTGAACAGGTTTTTAGTGAATATGCTAAGCTAATTTAATACTGAAAAGCTAATTTTAAATTACAGTTCTTTAAAAAAAAAGTTTATTTATGCCAGAAAGTTAACATTGTCCAAGGCCTGTAACCTAATGTGTCTGCTTAAGTGAAGATGTCTGAAGTCATTTGTGTGGTTTAGGATAGGCAGAAATACTCATTTTAGTTCTATATGTAAGTGATCAAGGTAATTATGTGGAAATGTTTTAATTGAACAAGTTTGGATTCATTTGTGGGGTACTGGATACTTATTGATTATCCATTTGGTTCATTTTTCTATGATGTCGCTTTTTACTTGGAGAGTTTAATACATCTAACTTGGCCAACTTTTTTCCCCTGCATTGAAATACATTATATACTTAATGAAATAGTTTGTATTTAGGTATTATGTTTAATGAAATTACTCAGATTTAAATAAACATAAAAACTAATGGGTCTATTTTGGAGGATGCTAAGAATTAACTCATTGTTAAACTGGGTACATTTATAAAAGAAAAGATTCAAACATCTATCTTGCCTTTCCTAAGTAAACTACACATCAGAATAATTGAATAGGTAGTAAAAGAAAGTTAAATATTTTTAGAAGTATTTCAGCAAATAATTGAAGATAAAAGTATAGAATTTGAATATTAGCATTTTGTACACTAATGAATTAATGGATCTAGGAAGTGATCAGCAATGGCTATTAGCGTCACAAAAGGTGAGACAACAATACATTAAAAATACTCCTTGCCCTAGCCAGTTTGCCTCAGTGGATAGAGCATCAGCCTGTGGACTGAAGGGTCCCGGGTTCGATTCCGATTAAGGACACGTGTCTCGGTTGCAGGCTCGATTCTCAGCCCTGGTCAGGGTGTGTGTGGGAGGCAACCAATCGATGTGTCTCACATAGATTTTTCTCTTTCTGTCTCTCCCGCTCCCTTTCACTCTCTAAAAAAAATTACTGGAAAAATATCCTCAGTGAGGAGTAACAAAGAAATTTTTTTAAAAAATATTTCTTTATGGAAGTAAATAACAGCAAATATGCAATAGTGTGACCAAGAAAACCTGAAAGCCAAAACAAACAAACCTGCATCTTATTAAGAAATCTAACTACTAATTTACAAGATGTACAGAGTCAGAAATGTACGTTAAGTGACAAGAGGATGCAATCAGCAAATTTAGATCACAGACAAATGACCTGGTTTCTTTAGTCAAAAATTCCAAGGAGTTTAGTAAAGGATGGAGCAGAACCTGTAGATTAAGAGACAAACACTCAGCCAGTCAGAGTGTATAGATCTTATTTGGATCCATATTCTGACATGTTATAAAAAATAAAACTTTATGGACAATTGGAGAAAATCGAACATTGGGTATTTGATATTAAGGAATTATTAAAGTTAAAAAATTTTTTTTCTTGGAATAATGGTATTAAGGATTTTCTCCCTCAAAGAACACTTATCTTTTAGACTTATATACTGAAATTATAGATTAAGTGATCTGATGTCCAGAATTTGTTTCAAATTATTGCCTTATTCTTATGGCTTTGTTTGGATGCACTTTTGAGTTAAAAAATAATTCTTAATATAAAATTATCACTTTGATAACATAGTGTCTGTTCCCTACTTAATAGACCAACTAACCTTTATTATTTTGACTTTTCTTTCAGAAATGTGATCAATATCAGTCTTTTTTTTTAGGCTAATGTTTATAAAGTTCATAAACCATAGAATTTTAACCTTTAGTTTTCACATTTCTTATGAGATTTCTTACATATTATTAACAAATGACCTTATTAGAAGACTGAGAGAACCTGTAAATGTTACTTATAATGGTCTCAAAGTTTAGGGAAAATGAACTAATAAGTAGAAAAATCATCTTTATTTACTCAAGTTACACTGAACAGGAATCATGGTGTATTAAGGATAATTTAAATTTCTTTTTATAAAAGAACATTTTGAGAAAATGATGTCTCTTTATCTAGGATCGCTTGGCTAGATTTTAGAAGAACTCAGTTTTAGCTTTTTAAAAAAAATATATTTTTATTGATTTCAGAGAGGCAGGGAGAAGGAGAGATAGATAGAAAAATCAGTGGATAGAAAGGATCATTGATCAGCTGCTTCCTGCACGCCCTCTATTGTGAATCGAGCCTGCAACCCGGGCTTGTGCCCTTGACCAGAATAGAATCTAGGACCCCTTCAGTCCACAGGCCGACGCTCTATATCCACTGAGCCAATCCCACTAGACCAATTTTAGCTTTTTTAATTTCTTAAAAGTTTTTTTGAAGCAGGAAGGGGCTGTCTTTGAACATTTATGTGTGACTTCATTTTCTACCTGAAGTTATTTATATTACACATAAACTAATGAATAGAACATATGACATTGTGAACTTCTTTTATCTGGATTAGAAATTATTAGTAGAACATTAGTTAAAACTTAGCAGGCCTACTAGATAATCTTATTGGAAGTTGGCCCTTTGAGTTTTATACTGGTTTTTCCATTAAATCTATGACTCTAGGAAAGCTATATAAATTGTTTAGTTTTTCCTTTTAATGAAGCTGGTGTTGCCTTACTAAAAAAGGTTAGCATACCTTTTGGCAAATTTGTTAAGGAAATGTCACTTTCATTCTTCAGCTAAATTTTTAACCTCCCTTATGTACTTTGTTCTTTGGGCTAAGAGTTTATAATTGTTGTAAAGTATAAAAGTATCCTCTTTTCATGTGTTTGTTAATAGAGTACTTCTTTAAGTACATGCTAAATCCTTTTAATTATACCTTTATTAACTTTTAAATAAATTAATCAAACTTTCATTGGGTGCCTGCCAATGACAGGGTTCTGAGCTATATGGGGTTATATTATAGGAAAAGATGTTTTCATGAAAACATCTTTTGGGATTAGTCGTTCATGAAACATATGTGAGATATGCTGAATTCAAACAAATAAGACAAGCTTTCAGTTAAGTATAGCGGATTGAGCACCTGTTTAATTCTCTAATCCCTCCCAGAACCCTACTAAAATGACAGGAAAGAAAATTTTTAAGAGAACTGGAGAGAAGAGACAGCAGATAAGAGAATCCACAGTATAGAAGCTTGAAAGTGATAGTACAAGGTGAATGGTAATCTCTCTTAGCAGAAAGCTGAAACAAAAATCTTTTCATGGGGTGAATAGATCCTTAGACTGTCCTGGGTCTGGAGGTCTCCATTATCTCTGAAGGCAGGGATATAGGGTGGTGTAAAAAAAAAAAATAGAATTAAAAAATTTTAAAACAGTTTATCCTGCAAATTCTTGGCTCAATAGGGTAGGGGAAGGAGACTACCCTGGCAAAGATTGGAGACTTACTCTCTAGACCAGTGGTTCTCAGCCTTCCTAATGCCGCGACCCTTTAATACAGTTCCTCATGTTATGGTGACCCCCAATTTCATTGTTACAAATTGAACGTAATTAAAGCATAGTGATTAATCACAAAAACTATGTAATTATATATGTGTTTTCCGATGGTCTTAGGTGACCCCTGTGAAAGGGTCGTTCAACCCCCAAAGGGGTCGCGACCCACAGGTTGAGAACTGCTGCTCTAGAGTGAGTAGTTGAACCAGATTAAACTATAGCACAAATGAGAGTAGAAGAAACAGCAGAGTAAAGAGAGGGAAATTAAATGTTGAGGTCTCTAATTCTCTACCTGTGCTCATTATTC